ATTATTTCTATCAATATTAGTTTTTACTCACCTATTTGAAAAGAGCTTCCATCAGGAAAAATCAAGAACCTTTTCCTTCTTGACAATAATTTGGTTGGTTGCAATCCTTCTGACGATGTTATATTTGCTTTGATTTCAAAAGAGATGAAGTTTATTAGAACTAATAAAGCGAATAGTTTCATATTTGCCTGGGAAAAGAAAGCAAAAATCGCTGTTTCTTACTCGTGCCATGACTGACAAAATTACAAAGTACTTAAGAAAGACTGCCTCGTTGGCCGAGTGGTCGCAAGTACGACTGCCGGGCAAGGGGTCTAGGGATCGATTCCCAGGTCGGGCAAAGTATTATTTGGTTTTTTTTAATTTCTCAATAGTAGCACGGAGTCTGGAATTGTGCTCGGTATATGGCAATAGGCTCACCCCCTATTACATGGGACTCATAACATAAATAGTGAAAAGTGGGTGTTATATTGTACAGTGGCATAATGTGCACCTCTGCCTACCCTTTCGGGGATAAAAGGCGTGATGTTATGATGTTATGTTAAGAAATAAATATGTATCATATAGATCAGTCATTTAAGTTAAAATTGATTGTCAACCAAAAAGACTAAACTCGAATTCGTCTTCACAGTGTTTCTTTAGCCACATTTACTCATTAAACCGGTAAACAAACTTAATTAAGATTATATACTTACAACGGTACAACTCTTCAAAGAATGTTACCCTTTTCAAATTCCAAGAAACGACTGGCATGCATACTGAAACAATGGGCCCACGTACTTAGCATATTTGCATAAAATTTCAACCTTTGTGCAAATAACGACAAATTGTTTTTGAGAAACATGCTAATGAAAAGTAGCAAGGAGTATATTATCTGACCCTTATTTTGAATATTGTTCGTCGGTTTGTGTGTTTTTTGGTTTATTAAAAAATATAAAAAAACTACCGAAGGAATGAATTGTAACGTAGTTTAGTTATATAGGAAACAAAACCAATGGATTACTAATGGCCTGTTTCACAAAATAGGATAGCCACTATGTACCAGATTTGAATATACGTAATTTCATAATTAACGTAAGTTACAAATTAAAACTTTCTAATATAAAATTAAGTAATATAAAAGTTAGAACCTTTTAAGGGAACATGACTTTTTAAGTAACTTTATTGAGGGTACTTCTTAAATGTGACGATTTACAAAATAGGTACCCACTAATTACTTAAAACTATGTCATAACAGAATCAATCTATTGTAACTCTTAAGCAACATTTATTAACTTCTAAGTTCCATTAACTTACATAAAGATAAAACCATATTCCTATATAACTTAAAGACTAATATTTCTAAAAACACTTTGAATAAAATATTCCAAGAAAAAAATTCCCAAGCATCCAATCTCAGCCACTTGATAGAGAAACCCGATGTTTACAAGCGGAAAATGAAAAATATATTAAAAATGTTCTCTATACAGGAAGGAATTTCAAGTAGGAAAAAAACAACGTAAGAAAAGTACTCAAATAGCTTTTGCTTTATTTAATATTATGTTTAAATTATGTTCATAAGACCTTGGGTGGAAAGTATTAGGATTCTTTACTTTCTGACAGCCTGGTAGTTAGGTCTGATATTGTGTGTTATTAAAGAGATTGTTGCAACAAAGGATTGTTTATTGGTAAATAGAATTAAATGCCATGTATTTATTGTAAACTAGTTGTACCTGCGACTTCGTCTGCGTGGAATACCTAGTGATTCACAGCTCCTCTCCCGTGGGTGATAGCGTAATAGCAGCATTCATATAAAAAATGTACTGTACAATGTAACACCCACTTTTCACTATTTATGAGTCCCATGTAATAGGGGGTAAGACTATTGCTATATACCGGCACAATTCCAGACTCCGTTCTACTACTGAGAATTTTTTTAAATCCAGTAATAGTTTGCCCGACCCGGGAATCGACCCCGGGACTCCTTGCACTTGCTACCACTAGGCCAACGAAGTAGTATATTATAACATTATCTATTATCTATTATATAACATATTTCAATTATCTCTTCGTAGATTGTATCAACATAATTGTTATAATTATGGTGCAGATTTCTAGTTCAAAAAAGTTCGTTTTAATTTGACCATTAAAAAATCAAACGTGATATTTTGGTACTCGTATCAATTAGCAGTATACTGATCAAATATTAAAGTAAATATGATGTAATTACAAACAAAATCATGTAACTTTAAATAACAAACAATTAATAACGTTGATTCACATTACTCTACTCCATATTTATGTTACGAATTCAACGAAAACGCTGCGCTAACTACATTTAATAATTAACCGTTAAAATATGACCATAATTTCGTTTCTGATTGTTCAAATAAATAGGATCGCGTCAAGAGATGGCTTAATTGTTCTATAAAAATAATTGATATTATAGAAATAATTATGGTAATAAAAATAAAAATCGCCATTATAAATTAAATTATTTCTCGGTCAGAGGTTAAGCCCTACAACGTGGCAATGCTGCCAGCCTGTTGGGTACTTTCCCCACTGACGTCGATGCGGACGAAATTTTCTTTGCTTTGTGTAAATAGCTATTTTTAATTTTCTTTTATTTAATATTTATCTTAAGTTGTATATATTTAGTAATAGTTAATATTTATTTTATTTAAGTTTGTATATTAATAAATGATTGGAAATCTGCAAACAGTTTTGAAATTAAATTTTCATTATATATAAGTCACTTAAATACAATTTCGTGCGGAATTCAATATTTAAATAAAGAAACTTCGTTCATTCCAGGAACGCATAACATACGTATCTGTCAGAAATGTATCAATTAACATAACAACATCACGCCTTTGGTTTCG